TCTTTAATTCTTAATGTAAAACATCTCTCTCCTTGGAGAAAAACTGTAATAAACACTAAGTAGCATGAAATGCCACATGATTAAAACAAAAACAATGACTGAAAAAAAAATCTAAGCTCTAAAGCAGGGATCCTCAAACTTTTTAATAAGGGGGCCATTTCACTGTCCCTCAGACTGTTGGAAGGCCGGACTGTGGGCTCCGGGACAGGCAGCAGCAGCAAAAACACCCGGTAGGACAGATAAATGTCCTAGGCGGGCTGCTTGTGGCCCACGGGCCGTAGTTTGAGGACACCTGCTCTACAGAATATTTAGCCAGGAGCAGTGGCTCATGCTTGTAATCCTAGCATACTCTGGGAGGCTTAGATGGGAGGATCCCTTGAGCTCAGGAGCTCCAGACCAGCCTGAGCAAGAGCCAGATCCTGTCTCTACTAAAAATAGAAAAACCAGCTGGATATCATGGTGGGCACCTGTAGTTCCAGCTACTTGGGAGGCTGAGGCAGGAGGATTGTCTGAACTTGGGAATTTGAGGTTGCTATGAGCTAGCCTGATGTCACAGTGCTCTAGTTCAGGTGACAGAGTGAGACTCTACCTCAGTTTAAAAAAAAGAGAGAATGATTTGATAAGTAAATAAAATTATCTTCTTTAAGAACATTATAAAGTATTAGGCACTATTGGGCCTCATTTTCAACAAAAAGACAAAATTTTATAAGGCAATTAACTATAACAATACTTGTTCTCTGAGAGGTAAAGGGTATGCTAAAAAAACAAACAAACTCAGTCCTATATTTGGAGCCTGTTGGTATATAATAACAACCAGTCACCCAAGAGACATTGGAAACAATATCTGCAAACACAGTTTCCTAAAGGGTGGAGTTATAATTAAGGATATATTGTAATGTCAGTAGCACCTGGACCTGAAACTCCAATAGTGAAGACAAAGTGAAAAAAAACAACAACAACAACAACAAAAAACACTGAGGACAACTACTGATAACTGTATTAATGAAATAAACATAGACAAAGAGACAAGAAATGGAGTTGTTCTGATTAAGGTTTCAAAAAAAAATAAGACACTGAAAAAGTCTCCTTCACATAGTTATGCCTACCTAGAAAATCATTTTTTATTATACATATTCATTTTCTTCTCAATATAAAGAGATGCTGGCATGGATCTAGCTACTGCAGTAGGTCTCATGATGCAAATGGTCCCACAACTGAAGAGCACAGCTGCATTTCTGAATGTAATGTCCTTACTACAGTCTTGATTAAACAGCCCTATTACCCTTTACCAGGCACATCCGCTTATATAAGAGCAACAGAAAGAAAATCTATGTCACAGTCACTATAGCAATCTTCTCTGGCATGAGATTAGATATGAGCTGTTGAGGCTCAGTGCCTGTAGTTCAAGTGGCTAAAGCACCAGCCACATACACCAGAGCTGGCAGGTTCGAATCCCGGGCCTGCCAAACAGCAATGACAACTACAACCAAAAAATACCTGGGCATTGGATGGCACCATGTGGCTCAGTGAGTAGGGGGCCAGCCCAGTACACAGAAGGTGGTAGGTTCGAACCCGGCCCAGCCAAACTGCAACAAATATAGTCGGGTGTTGTGATGGGCTCCTGTATTCCCAGTTACTTGGGAGGCTCAGGCAAGAGAACCACCTAAGTCTAAGAGCTGGAGGTTGCTGTGAGCTGTGATGTCATAGCACTCTACCAAGGAGGGCAACAGAATGAGGCTCTGTCTCAAAAAAAAAAAAAAAAA